CTGAGGGTACTAGGAATTCAGTATGCAATAATCTTATTTGGAACATCTGAAGCAAAGAGCATTCCCTACTAGTTTTCAGGCTTGTCCATAATTTAAAAAATTGTGCTACTCTTTCACGTTCTGATTGGCTGTTAGCAGTGCACACAGTGTTATTGAATGCAAAATTTCTTAGGTGATTTGACAAAGGGTGAAAGGGCACCAGAAGGTTACACAAAGCAAGAAATTTTAAAAAATGAAATTTTCTCCCTGATCCTCTTTAGTAAACACAGACCATTTGCGTTTTAGAGGTACTCTTATAGCAGTCGCCAAAAGGACATGAAATACATGAAAGAGAGCCTCCTGTGTATTTTACATCTTTTGTTTAGACACGAAAGGCTATCCCCAATGGCAATATTCTTGTTTGACACATCTGACAGTACCCCTAGCTTTGTGTGTTTTTATGCACACACAGTTTCATGTGACTGAAGAAGTAGATTGCACTCTGTGAAAGCTGACAGTAAAACAGATTTGTTTGTTCTAAAGATGCCCCAATACTTTACATTTTGTTTTTGCTGAATCAAACCAACACTCTTGCTCCCACTATGAAAGCTGCTTCGGTTTCTGAATTTACATGTATGAATTAAGTTTTGGACATGGCTCTTCATAGCAGCTGTTCCTTATAGGCATCTTATGCAGAAACGGAAATAGGAATGTATTGATACGTGTGTATAGGCCTCTCTTTCTCTTTTATTCGCTCTGTGTCTGTATTCAGACACATTGTATGCTTGCTTTTGTGTGTGTGTGTGTGTGTAAGCAAACAAGGTAAGATGATGCTTTGTAATAACAGCAGCAAGAAGATCTGAGAAAGAAATTATCTGAGTTGGGTAACAAGTAGGATTGGTTCAACCTTAGTGTTTTCTTTCTTGGATTCCTTGTTGTTATTATAAAGCATCAATTTACGTTGTCTGCCTTTTCCCCCTGTCCCTGGGTTACCATTTTTAACTCTCTGATAAGGTTCGCGACATGGCAGCTCCATTCTGTTTTTGCGTTTCCTGAGAAGGGTGGCTAAGAGATCCCATCTATACTTCTGTGTAATGCAGCTGTGAAGAGCTCAGAGGAAATTAATTGCTTGAGGGACCATTGACAGTCTCAGTGTCTGACTATTGAGCGACTGGAATTCTGTCAGCCTTATGATGGCAAGCTCCTCTAAAGTGAATTAGTTTAACTGACTTCTTAATTTCTTTATAAGCTATTGTCTGAAACAGAAGGACATTTAGCCAATTTTCTGACAATTGGCCTTTCTTGGCATAATTCAGGCCACTCATTCTTTCTTGGTGGTGTTGCCAAAATGACATTGTTTCCCCCCCCCTCTAAACCCCAAAGATCTGGTTCTGTGTTTCCATTTTAATAGGTCCTTTCATTCATTTGATTCAAATGGCCAGCTGGAAAACTAACCACTCTGAGGGGCTGCAAGTTAGGATAGGCGGCAGAGCCTGGAGGTCGTGTCACCATCCCATAATTATTCCAGGATCTAATCTCATATGCAAGAATCTATTGTTTAAATGTTGTTTTAAGCCTATTGGAGATGGGGGGGAGAGGAATAATTGTAATTCTGATTTCCCGATTTATATTACTGAACTCTTTAGTTCACTTATTCAGTTCTTGCGCTAAACTGCGGCAGGGGGACCAAACCCAAGTGTGTGGGGGGGGTTTTCCTTCCAGTGGATGCATGCCTTCTCAGCCCCAAAATTAGACTGAGATTTGCTATGAGTGAAATCTCATTAGACTGAGATTTGCTCTGGGACAAGCCTTTACTTTTAGACGCTAGTTCCATCTTGAGCTGCCGGTCTAGCCAACGCAACCTCTGTTTCCAGCTCAGATCTGGAGCTGGGAAGGGCTTTTCTGCGCTCTTGATGGATGCTTTAAGAAGCTCATGCCTGTCTGATTCAGGGAAAGACCAGAATCAGACAGGTATGTGCCTATGCCTCCACCTGCCCCACTCCCAGCCTGGCAAGTTGCAAATTCAAGGCAGTCACCACCGCCCCATCTTCAGCAGTGAGAAGACTTTGGGGCAGGAGATTGGCAGGATCCAGTGAGCTGCTTGGGGAATCTGTAACAATGTTCCCCCATTCTACAAGAAGGAATTCTGCCCATTGGATCTCTGGATCTAAACTTTCTTTACCCCATAAGCCCAATTCAGAAATAAATGAAGATGGTGAGATAGCTTTGTTCACTTTTTGAGATCCCATGGCTGACATGAAAGAAGTTCTAGAACGGCCTTATTTTGGCTGTAAACAGTAACCCCAAAATAGCAAACTGAAGCAGTAGCAAAGAGCCATTGAAATACCACTAGGGCAGAATATGGAAAAAGTAATTTGTTGCTATTCGAGTTCTAAGATTTCCTAAAGCTGTCAAGTTACCTTCATCACCATCTTAGAACTGCAGAGCTGGAAGGGAGCTATGAATTAGAAATGGGCACGAGCCTCATTTTGGAGGTTTGTGTCAGTTTGTATGCTTGGCACCCCGTGTTCCCTTCCCACACCTCCCCAGCTGAATGCCCCCCCACCAGCCAGTGCACACTCCTCTCCTCCTCCTCTTTAGCTGTTCGACCAGTTTCTAGCAGGAGCACAGGCTTCCCTGCCCTGCCTCCTCAGCTGATTGTCCACTCAAACAAGGAAGCAGGACAGACAAACCTCCAAAATGAGGCTTGTGCTCATTTAATGAGGCCCTGTGCCTCCATAATTATGGAGGTAACTGGAGTTATATTTATATCTATAAATGTATCCTATTGCTTTGTATACTAAGTCACAACTAGAGTACAGTGGTGCCTCACTAGACAGTTACCCCGCATGACAGTTTTTTCACTAGACATTGACTTTTTGCGATCACTATAGCGCTTCACAAAACAATGATTCCTATGGGGGAATTTTGCTGGACAATGTTTGGTCCCTGCTTCGCAAACCAATTTTCACTAGACAACAATTTTGACAGCTCCCTCCGTGCTCGCAAGATGGGTGTTTTTGGGACCTGAGCTTTGCAAGACCGCTATTTAAACAGTTGATCGGTGGTTCGCAAAGCGGCTTTCCTATGGCCAATCTTTGCTCGACAAAGACAATTCTTCCCCATTGGAATGCATTAAACAGATTTCAGTGCATTCCAATGGGGAAATGCTTTTCGCTAGACAATGATTTCGCTAAACAGCTATTTCAGTGGAACGGATTATCATCGTCTAGTGAGGCACCACTGTACGTTCATTGAATCAGAGCAATTTATGAAAGAGTTGACTCACCAAATCCCCACTGAATCAATGGGCTTACTCTAGTTGTTACACTATGGTATAAGCAACAAGCTTTCAGCCATACCTCAAAAACCCTGCTTGGGTTGCCGTTCTTCAGAGGCAATGTCATGGCAGATAACAAACTAGAGTAATGGCTTCTTTAGGTTTACTTTTTTTGCATCCATCAATTCTCTGTTCTATGCACTGACCGTAGAGTTCAGTGCTGCTCAGAATGTTACATGCCAGAAGTCATGGAAACAAAATTATCAGCCCAAAAGGGATGGAATTACTAGCTAGACAGTAATGAGTTCCTTGGGGTATGTACAAACATACAATAGGAGGAAAACATGGGAAAATATGTGTGGTGCTGTATACCTGCATATTCCTTTTGACAACTACTTTTTCAACCACACAGAGAGAGAGAGAGAGAGAGGTTTTTAGTATAAAAAAGCACGCGCACACACACACACACACTCACACACACACACACAAGTCGCTTCTTGACATATCCATATATGGCTAAGGTGGGGCAAGACTTGAACTTCTTTTTCCTGGAGAGGCATTACGAGTACTGTATTCATTTCAGTTAACATTCTTCAACTGTTTTAAGTAAAGTTAAGGCAGTTAAGTCTGCCTTAATTTATCATTACCAAGAGAGATTCGTCTAAAAAACTGATGCATTTGTATGGGTGGGTCCCCTCCTTTCCTTAAGACAAAAAAAGTTTCTCCCCCTCAGTGCTTTTTGGTTGTGCGTTTTGATCAGTATCTCCTAAGTGTTGCAGTGGAGAAAGAAGTGTATCATGGACATAAACCCTTATCTGTCTGTCTGCCTGTCTGCCTGTCTATCTATTCCGCCCAGCTAGTGGCAGAGCCACTACTCTGGATGGCAGTGATGACAATGTGCTACTCGGAAGATGTTTATGCCGTCAAAGTGTCATGTCATTGCACCATTGAATGAGTTTTTTCATAAACACATCCTTGGGTTTTTTGGTAGAAATTGGAATTCGGCTTTAAACAATGTTTAAAAGTTAATATGAAGTATTGACAATGCAGGTTAAAAAGCAGTTCAGTACATTTTGCATCCCTTTTTTAACTTTTCATTTTCACAAGGCCATTTTTTAAAAAGTTGTTTTTGCTTTTCGTAGTATGCAGCAATGTTATTTCTTTTTTTTTCCTGCTTCTCTTCTGCAGTTGTAAACATTCCAGTTTGTTCTCTCTTTTTTTGCGATGCCGCCTTTTGCATCTGGTTTGATTTTCTGTTACAGTTATGCTAATGTTTTAAGTAAAGAATTATTCATGTTGGGCATACCCTGCCAGAGTTAAGCACTTCATTTCACTGATTTCACTAGAAAGGATAAGAACAAGCAAATAAGATGTATCAGTTCTTCTGTCCACGAACCACTGAAAAATATTAAATGTGTCATTGACTTTGTATGTTTGGGGAGTATGGTGAGCATTAGAAATGCACAAGACATAATAAATAATTGGGAACAACAAAATAAACAATGTAGAATCATAAATATGTTATGAAAGAATTCTACAAGTACACAGACCGGCACAAATACCCCCTCCCAAAAAAAATCCACACTGTTGCAAAAAAACATAGAAATCCATATACGTACATTTGTTTAGCCTTGGTCAAAGCCATTGTGAAAACTGCAGCATTTTGAATGAACTTGTCATTGTTATTTGCAAGCAGGAAGTCAATTTTCTGTAAATTTGACCAGTGCTCTTGTCCTTTCAGCAACTCTGGAAGAAATCTATCTCTTACAGAGCGGGTTATGGGGCAGCGAAAGAGGTACATACTTATATCTCTCCCATTGCAATCAATGTTAAGTTTGGCAGGATTGTGCTCATTGTGTAGAGATTATGTGTACATTGGTAGAATTATTAAATACAGTCTTAATTTTATATATTTGTTCCTTCTTGAATTTTATATGGAAAGATCTTTAATGTGGTGTAGTGCGAAAAGCATAAATGAATCTGGCAGAAATAACCTCAGGAAGAGAAGGAATGAATCTCCTGCATCTGGGAGGACTAATGGCTCTTCTGTATAAACACTGGGATCAGAAGTGCTGCTGCAGTGACCTTAATAGAGCCTGGAAAGCTACTTTTAAATAGAATGAAAATAATAATACACCGAAATCATCCTTTACTAACCTGAGATAGGATGGTGCTTGCATTTGACAGCATCATCCCACCTACCCTGTCATTATATTTATCCTTCTTAAAAGTTTCTTCGCAAGCTCTTCACAGTCCCAGAGAGGAAGATCTCAGTGTCAGTTCCAGGTTGGCATGATTAGTTTCGTCCTGGGGATAACAATTATTTATAGTTTATCCCATCAATTCTCTCCCACCGCCACCCTTTGTAAAAACATAGGTACCCAGGTTAATCTCATAATCCTGTGCCAAAATTGAATCGCATGATCAATTTAATGCCTTTGCATTTGGTGGTTCTGAAAAAGATGTCTGAACTGCTTTTTACTCAGAAATATTCAATTTCAGCTGATGTTGGGTCATATAAGACCTCAGTATAAGGTGAATAATTTAGGATGTCTTAATTCTCACATGCTGGTTGTCATTTGTTACAGCAAACAACTGGAATGCACATATCTATCTATCTATCTATCTATCTATCTATCTATCTATCTATCTATCTATCTATCTATCTATAGCAAACAACTGGAATGCACATAGCTTTCTTTTTCTTTCTTTCTTTCTTTCTTTCTTTTTTTCTATGTATGAACTTAGGGAGCTCCCTTATATGGACCACTGCTTCATCTAACCCAGTAATGTCAACTTTGACTGTCAGCAGCATTCCAGTGTGTCAGCCAGGATGCTTCCCTAGCACTACATGGAATCCTTTCTATGCCTTGGTGGTCTTCCATCCAAGGGAACCCAGGCCCAACCCTTAGTTTTCAAAAGACAATGAGATAGATTGTGTTTGGTGTAGTATTGTGATATATGCTGAATGACAATGAAGGTTTCTTGAGTGTCATATTGGAGTAGGATAGTGATTTTTAAAAATGCGCCTTCCCTTTCTGGAAAGCACTGTGGTTCTTCTTTAGACATGAAATATTTCTGTGCGGTGGCTCTTAGGAATGGGAAAGACAATTTGGATAGGCTTTTCCAGTGGTATTTTAGTAGCTTTACATGACATTGGTTCTTTGCTTTAAAATGTACATACTTTGAAATATAAATAAAACTAGTCGTGGGTCAGGCTGACTATTCCATTAAACAACCCCATAAATTATTTATTTCTGTATGTGTTCATAAAACTGACTGGACCCTGAAGTGACTTGTGAGGTGGCGCAGTCAGTTTTAACACACCACTAGTTTCTACAAAAAAGTAGGGGAAATTGACACATGATTTTCCTAAGACCAAAAATGTCTGATGAGGGAGAAGCTGCTGTATGTGTGTTGTCTCTCCACATGAGCCAGAAGCTTACATGCGTGGCTTATGTGAAGAGGCTGCTCAAGTATTGCAGCCTCCTCCCCCTTCAGATAGTCGTGTTCCCGTGATTAAAGATGATGACAAAGGAGGCAGGACTAGAACGCACCCTTCAATACGTGTGGGTTTTGCACACGTTAAAGCATGTTTTGCTGGGCATTTGCTCCTCCAGGGACTGAACAGAGGACTGAATGTATGACGCATCTGCCACTAAGCTGTGTCCCTCTCATACTGCATGAGCCAAGCTAAGTCCCACCTTAAAGAAATAAAACAATGTAGTAGGTTCAAGAGTGGTACAAACTGCTAATGTAGTAATTCATTTTCCTGGTGATTAAGCTTGTCCTTTCTGCCCCAATCACAGGAAACTAGCCCTGATTGCAGGGAACTACCAGATTTGAAGAGTGGCCTAGATTGAGATATAGGCGATAAACACCAAATTCACTGTGGATTTTGTATCTACCATTGTATTTATAATTTAAATGTGACAATATAAAACTCTTCAGGTTTTATATTGTAAACATTATGTATATTGAAGTTTAAAATAAGAGGCGTGAAGACAACCAAAGTTAATTGAGAGCACAGAGTGCTGTCCTCTGAAGATGCTGGCCACAGAGACTGGCGAAATGTTAGGAAGAACAACCTTCAGAACACGGCTAAAGAGCCTGAGAAACCAACAACAACCATTAATTTTGATTATTTACATATCAGCTATCTTTGACCAGGCTTGGTAGTCGGAGATTTTTCTGCTCCCTCAGTCCACGCTTTAGAAATACCATTCTGGACATATTCTGTGATAGTAACTGTAATGACATACTAAATGATGGCAGTAGTTTTCTCTCCACCTCCCCCTTAGATTAATTGTGCTCAGGGTATGTGATATTGTGAATGTTAAAATCTGTCCGGACTAGCATTATGTTAAATACTAAATGCCCTGTCTACACTGCAATTTTAACATGTTCTGACTAACACATTTTAGATCTGAAAGCTCCAGTGGAGGTCAGGGTGCTCGACATCCTGTTAAGTAAATGTTAAAGGATTCGGTACATGAAGCCTGTGAATTCTGGAATTGTAGCAATTAAAGCATTATACAAGAGACTTTTACTGAAATGTAGAACCTGTTGCTTTCAGATATCAAAAGGTATTTTAATAACCTTTCTTTTAGAATGGCTGTAGCAATTCAGTGAAAAGCATTCTCAGAATAGATGCGAGGTATGTGTGTGGGGGGAGAATAAAAATGCAATGTAAAAATTCCACCGGGAGTTTCACTCAGCAGTAGATGGCATTTTCTTTAAAAAAAAATGTTTGAAGAATGAAAGAACATGGTTAGATTATGAAAATACGGAGTCCTGTGAAGTCTAATAAATAAATTTGCTACATGCAAAGAAAGAGTTTTAAATAGAACATTTAATATATATAACAATATCATAACAATTCACAATAAAATCCACAAAAAAGGTAACACAGTAATCTTCCTTGCTGAACAAGAGAAGAATTGCTGTGCAGTTTTTTAAGGAACAGTTTTGTGTTTATCTGATTACACAGGAGGTATAATCTAATTTTGTATTAGTGATGATAGAATACAATATATTTACTTGTAAATTATGTTCTAAGTAGCTACTTGGACTTCTCATGTTCTCATATTATTCTGTACATTCCAGTGAAAACACTTACATCTTGGTTAAAAAAGACTTCAGACAGAATCTCTGCTAATTTTTAACTTGGCATGATATCAGAATCAGGCTATGTTCTTAGTATATTTGTATGCCCAAATGCTTTGTTAAGAATATAAACATTTTAAGGATTCAGATCAACACCTCTTACTGCCACCAACCACAGTGAAGGGAAGAAATGTGGTAGAATTAATATGTTCCAGTTGGTCAGATACACAAGCATGCACACACACAAAAGAAAACGTATGAAAGAAAGATGTTATTTAAAATTATTTTTACAGTTATGTTTAGTACTCAGATGAAAATATAAGAACTGTATGCCTCCCATTGTGGTGAGGACAGAGCAAAAGTAATGAAAGCAGAAGCAGAAATGTACAGAAATGAGTGGGAAAGGAGAAGAGGGAATTGGGTTCAAAAATAACACTACAGTTATTCCTTTCAATTTATTCTAAACTTCCAAATGTTTCTGTAAAAACAATCCCCATGTGCTGAGGCCTTGAACAAAATTACCCGTATTTTTCGCTCTATAAGACGCACCTTTCCATAAGACGCACCATTTTTTTAGGAGAAGAAAACAGGAAAATATAATCTGTTTTCTTTGCTCCGTAAGACGCACAGACTTTCCACCCCCCCTGTTTTGTGGGGGAAAAGTGCGTCTTATGGTGCAAAAAAATACGGTACATCTCTGGTGCCACCCATTCACCAGTGATGATACTGGATTGTGTTTATGGGATATTACAGTGAATATGGGCACAGATTACTAGAGAACAGCTCCAGAATGCCAGGGTGATTTTTTTTCTTTTGTCATATTTTACATTTTATACAATTACTGTTTTTAACATAGTCTTCACACTATTATTATTTAGAGACAGATCATTTAATTTTTACCAACGACAGGCTTTTCAATATATACACTAAAGCATACAAAATAAGCTACATGGGTTGGAAATTCAGTTTTTCACTGCCTCTCTGTAAAAATCCTTGTTCAACCTGTTCTTAAAAGGACACTGTCAGTTTGAGAATGTTTGCACTTACTATGGCTATGAGAAATTACTCTACCTTAACATTTTATGTATAGCTAGTTTCGCTATTTTGCTGAACATCAGCAACATTTCCCTCTAACCTACGTGTATAGGAACCTGAGAAGCTGAAATACCACAGATGAGTTCTACAAGGCCAAATGGATGAGGCAAACCATGAACTTGAGTTTTATTGATAGGAAAGAAAAAAGATTCACTAGAATCAAGTGCTCTGGTAGAAGTAGCAGACTGTCTTCATTGTAGCACTCCATTAAACTGAAACTGCTTCTCTAAAATAATGTGGAAATGTTTTTTATT